AACACACATACACACACACACACACACACACACACACACACACACACACACACAGTTTCTCCTTAGCAGATTATGAGCCCAGAAAGAGAACCAGAGCCAAATAACTTTAATGAAGTTCTTCTCTTCACCTCTGGGGTCTTTTGGCCTGTCCTGCCTGATAATTAGGTATGAAGAATCCCTGTCCCATAACAGGGCACTGGGAAAGAACAAGGTAGACTTCACGTTCAAAATCAATCACTAATCAGAATGAATCTCCCAGACCCTCTGTGCATTCTTCACCATTTTCCAAGCCAAGTTCTATATCTAATGTAGAAGAAACTCAAAGTAATAGATTTGATGTTACAAAGGATTTATTAATAGATTGGCTTAGGAGACATTAAGTCACACAAAGTAGAATTTAGCTAAGGGAGCTACCTCCAAAACACCCCAAAAGTAAGTCATGTGCTAGCCAAACCTGTGTGAGATAAGTGCAATATCAGAGTCTAGGATGCAAATGTTTATTCACCAGCAGTCAGGAGCCATTAGGTTCCATTCCCATAGCAAAGGAGACAGCCCTGACTTACAGCAGCCAGTAGACTCAGCCTCATTGTCTAGGCTGCTTTGAAATACCATGACCAAAAAGCAAGTTGGGGAGGAAAGGGTTTGCTTAGCTTGTACTTCCTTCCACATTGCTGTTCATCGGGACAGGAACTCAACCAGGACAGGATCCTGGAGGCAGGAGCAGATGCACAGGCCATGGCAGGGTGCTACTTGCGGGTTTGCATCTCGGGGCTTGTTCAGCCTGCTTTCTTATAGAATCCAGGACCACCAGCCCTGGTTATTAATTGAGAAAATGCCTTACAGTTGGATTTCACGGAAGCATTTCCTCAACTGAGGCTCCTTCCTCTCTAGTTTGTGTCAAGTTGACACACAAATCAGCCAGTAGACGCATATCAAAATAGTGCCTCTCACGGGCAGCTCCAGGGGACAGCACAGAGTCACAATGCTGAGTTCTGACCTGCCATAAAGCACCCAGTTCTCTTCTTGAGAAAAGCATAATTCTGCAAAGTGTGTAAAATGATCCTCCCTGGTGGTAACTATTTGAAAAAGAACAACACTAGTGTAGTTAAAATAATTCTGAAACTATGCAATAAATATATTTTTGCTGTGTAAATCTTCCATCAGCCTAACTGACCAGACTTCAGACTCCTGTCTCTGTTTATAGTACAAAATGTGACCGTGACGTGGGGCCGGGACCTGAAGGAGATCTTAGGGTGACTGTGTTCATGAAATGGGTAAGCCTGAGGTGTATGTAAGTCAGCAAAAATTCCTATTCAAGTCCAGCTTTTCTTATGGCATTAGCCAGAGCCAGACACGTGCTATATTAAAGAGCTTTTTCCTTCATTAAGCTCTCAGCTTATAAAATGACTTCCCGCTAGGAAGGCACATAGATTCTAGAACAAATCAACCTCTCTGCAGGGCATGGAAGACCCCAAGAAACAATGACCTGGCCTGTGCCCTGCCAAGTAGAAGGCAAGTGAGCTATCTGCACGCTAGACCACCACGTGGTACAAACGGAATAACAGTACACACAGCCCCGTTCAGACTTTGAAGGTATCAGAGACGAATATATTTCTATGTAGGTGTGGAGGGCCAGTGGGGGGAACCTCAGCAGAGTACTTGAAGCCAAATTCAGAAAGGAGAGTAGGCAGCTAGAGGGTGTTCAAGATGTTGTTCTAAAATGCCTGACGGGAAAGGAGGAAGATTTATTTTAGCTCGTGGTGTCTGAGGTCTCCGGGTGGCTAGCACTGTTTCTGGGTCTGTGGGAAAGCAGATAGCATGTTAGCTGGACTGTGTGCTAGAAAAAGCTGTAACTTCGTGGTGTCCAGGAAGCAGAGAGGCAGAGGAAAGGGTCTAAAATGTGATGTAGCCCCAATGACATGCTTCATTGACCAACTTTCTCCAACCTATCCTTGCATCTATATGCCCCACCACCTTCCATAACGCCAGCAAACCATGACTCTCTCCGTGAATTAAGCCATTAGTAAAGGCAGAGCCCCCATGATCCCATCCCTTCTCAGTGATTGGATCCAGCTGGGGACTACACCATCAGCATCTGATGAGCCTTCGGGAGCCACTGTATACTCCAGCTACGACAAGGAAGATCCTGTTAGTTTCACAAGCTGACAGTCCAAGAAAAAAACTGATCCTGGAGCGCCCTCAGCACTAGAAGATCCCATTGAGGCAAGAGGTCGAAGCTAGAACGGCCCTGGGAAGATGGCGCCGTTGAAGGCAGCTCCTACATTGTCCTGCCCTTGGAGGGATCCTGCTCGTAATAGAGGGAGCAGACTCCAGGAAGACTGATTTTGGAAATAAGTTCCCAGACAAACAAGAACAAGCCATCGTTCTGGCTCTGCAGCCAACCCCGCTGATGCTGAGCTACCCCAGGGTAGCGTATCCTCCACTCTCAAACCCTGGGTCTTGATGGCTCTGTGGACCATGGAGTCTCTCTACTGTGCGCTCCTATGTGTCTGCATGGGCTTGGGTAAGGAAGCCGCTATTTCGTATCTTCACATAGCGGTAAGCTAGTGTTCTGTATTGTATCCTAAACTATCAGGGAGAGGGGATATGAGTAGCACCCTAAAAATAATGAAAAGAAAAGAAAGTCACACCAGATGCCAGGGAGAGGGGAGCCATGGAGACAGACATCACGGTCTTGCTTTTTTTTTTTTTCCTAATTTTGGACCTAAAGAACTCTATAGAAATAAATAACCAGAAACATGTGGAGGCACCTGAGAAATTTGTGCCAATGACCTCTTTCAGCTTTAGAGGTTGTCCTTGCCCCTCAGTCGCACAGGCAGCTGGGCTGGGAGCACTTGATAGGACGGGGGCGGCAGCTGACGAGGGTGGCTTCAGCTGATCAAGGTGGACAAGGTTGATGAGAGATCCTGTGGAAAAGAATCCCAAGGACCCCAGGCGCCTGCTGCCCCTCCCCCGCGGTCAGAGCCCTACAAGTCCTATGGAGTGCCTTCCTGGGGAAGAGTAGAGGAGGAGACACCCCGATAGCCTGGAAAGATTACTGGTCAGAGGACCCTGCGTGGGCTAGAAGACCATGATGAGAAAACTGGTCACTTAGAGTTAGCCATGGATTCTTTCTGTCCCCAGTCACCCTTCAGGGTACACAGGCTAGCCAGGAAAAAAAAAGCCAACCTGCTGCAGAGTTAAGTCTTTACATTTTTAAAGTAGCATGAGTAAAATCCACCCCTGGTGTACTCAGCTCCTCCCCTGAAAGTTGGCTGTTCTGCTGGCTTAGTGCATCAAATTGACACACGCTAGAGCCATCGGGGAGGGAGGAGCCTCAGCTGAGGAGATGCCTCCCTGAGATCCAGCTTTAAGGCATTTTCTCCATTAGTGATCACGGGGGAGGGCCCAGTCCATGGTGGGTGGGGCCACCCCTGGGCTGGTGGACCTGGGTGGTATAAGAAAACAGGCTGAGCAAGCCAGGGGAAGCAAGTCAGTAAGCAACACCCTTCCCTGGCCTGTGTATCAGCCCCACCTCCAGGATCCTGCCCTACTTGAGTTCCTATTCTGACTTCCTTCAATGATAGGCTATGATCTGAAAGTGTAAGCCAAGTAAATCCTCGCTTTTTGTTGTTGTTACCATTACTTTGAAGAGTTAAAATCGTACCAACAGACATCATAGAAATGCCTTAGCAAAGTACCACAAACAAGGTGAGTTTTGAGACATGGCCTCAAAACCCTCCTGCCACAGCTTTCTAAGCACTGAGATTAGAGGTATACACCTCCCTGCGTGGGTGGAAACTAGCTTCTTTGTAAACAGAGATTTATTCTTCCACAGTTTTGAAGCTGGAAGTCCAAAACCAGGTATCAACCAAGCTGATTCCTTTAGAGGTTCTGGAGGAGACGTGGCCTTTGCCAGTTGCTAAGCTTCGGGAAGGCACCAGATTTAAAAGCATCATAGCGCCAACATTTTAACCCTCTGTTGGCTGAGGTGTGGAATCTGCACTCACTTTTGGGATGTAGGCAGAATGTGCCATTCATTTCTAAGCGTTCCCAAGTTTGTCTACTTTAAATAATTATTGACAAATTTTCATCATGTAAGTTGATCGAGGGGGTTGGGGTGGTTTGATGAGAATGTCCACCATGGGTTCATCTATTTGAACACTTGGTCCCATTTAGTGGCACTGTTTGGGGAGGTCGTGAAGCATCTTCCAGGAGCAATTATGTCCCAAGGACAGCTGTTGAGAATTGATAGCCTCACGCTAGTTCCAGGCTGCTCTCTCTGCTTCCTGTGTGTGAGCGGAGTTGTGACATCTCAGCTTTCTGTTCCCACACTGTGTGATTCAACCCTGTGATGGACGCTTACCACTGTGAGATAGGCCTTGCTACCATGCCTGGCAGTCTAAGACCAGTCCCCAAAGCCTGCATGGTGGAAGGAGAGAAATGAATTCTTACACGCTGTTCTCTGACAGCCACATGTACACCATGGCATTCAACCATTCAGCCATACATACAGACACACCCAATAAATAATAGTACGTGATTTAAGAATGCTGTTGAGCTTCATAAAAATCAATGAATTGTTACTTAGGATCAGGGCAGAAAAGGGCCATAAAAATAACTTTTGCCTTTTTGTGTTGCATATGTATTTGAGGCAGTATTCTCAGCAATAAAATTATAAAACTAATATCAATCAGCTCTTTAAAATATCTAAAATATTCTTTCTACATACCAAGAATGCAGTCAAGCTTTAATCTTTCATTATTAATTTACTGTGACAATTTTATTCATGTATATAACATAGTCTGGTCACAATCATCCCACCACCATCTCTAACCCCCAGCCACCAGCTCACCCTTCCTCCTACCTGGTTCCCATGCCACTTTCATGCCTTGTTCTGATTTTGGTTTTATATTTTAGCCAAGATCAAACGCTGGGTTTAAGCAGGATCACGCATGTGAGCATGGTGCAAGACTGTCCTCCTGTGATTTGACTCTTACCTTCTGTCCACGCTCTCTTCCGTGAGCCCCAAGGGGATGAGGTGAGGACCCATCTGATGCTGAGCACTTGACAGTCCCTTTTTCTCAGCACTTGACCAGCTACGAATCCAGGAAGCTTCAATTCTCTGTGTAAAAGTAAGCATCAATCCATATGTGAGAGAAATGCCTCCCTACTCCAAGCATGTGGGTGTTTGGTCTCCAACTGATAGTGTTCTTTGGGGTGTAGGGAGGTGTGGCCTTGTTGGAGGAAGTGTGTCGCTGGAGGTGGGCTATGTCCTCACTAGTATGGACTCCAATCCTCTGGAACTGTAAACTCAAAGTCTTCTATAAACTGCCTTGGTCCAGTTTGGATGCTCACCTTACTAGATCTCGATGGAGGTAGGTGGTCCTTGGACTTCCCACAGGGCAAGGAACCCTGATTGCTCTTCAGGCTGATGAGGGAGAGGGACTTGATTGGGGGAGGGGGGAAATGGGATGTGGTGGCGGGGAAAAGACAGAAATCTTAAATAAATAAATAAATAAATAAATAAATAAATAAATAAATAAATAGAAAAAAACTGCCTTGGTCATGGTGTTTTATCACAGCAACACTAAAATAACTCCTACAATATGTAAGCTTGTTTTCATATTTAATAAGTGGCAAAATGACATGTATATGAAAGAATTGTTTTAAATTAAGCTTCTTTACAGTCTTTATCAGTGACCATTTGATTTGTGTATATACTAGCATGCCCAGAGCTGTACAGAATTCCTCAGATATAAAGAGATCTGAGAGGGAGAAGTCTGGGAAGTCCTGCTTCAGCCTTCAGGGGCACATTAGGCAGCGCTCTAGACATTTTCCAAGATTCAGGGCAGCATGGGGGCAAACCGGAAACCCAAGGGCAAGAGTCCTAGCAGGCTCTTTACCTGGCAACACCAGACACAGATGTTTTCTGCTAAGCGAGGAACTGAAGTCTACAGCATCCTGCACGTCTTTTCGTAGTTTTCCTAACTGAAACCTGACGTACGTAAAACTGTTACTAAATCCCAACGCCCTCCGGGCAGAGCCCCAGAAAGAAAGGCATCGCCCTATCTGATCAGGAAACCCTCTGGCCAGTTAAAGGAATGCAGATGCCGCTTCAAAGGGCCTCGGAGGGAGGGCCGAATTCTCACCCCGAATTCTCACTCATAAAGCCATATCACTCCGAAATTAAACTTCTTAATCTTCAGGCTTCGTTTTCAGCGCAAGGTGGAGCCATTTTTATTTAATCCAGCCTCGAATGTGGCGTTCCTCCTGTTCCTATCGATGCAAGTGTGACACGTTAGCGCACACAAGCAGCGGCTGTTGGATGCCCTCCTCCCGTTGATTACTGCCCTGATGCCTGCTCCACCCTGGAGTTTAGGTAAACAGGACCACCCCTCTCTGCACTTACCTCGGGATTGCAATGCAACCTTTTTTGTGCTTCAGTTAACATTCACTTGCTCTTACGGTGATTACACACTGTGGGGAATGGAGAATTCCCCGTTGAAGAAATCCACATTGAAGGAGAATGCCCCCACAGACTCACATGTTTGGATGCTTGGTCCCCCCATTAGTGGACCTGTTTGGAAATGATAGGAGGTGTGGCCTTGTTGAAGTAGTAGTAACGTTGGGGTGGGCTTTAAGGTTTCAAAAGCCATGCCACACCTAGTCTGGTTCCCTCTCTCCCTGTAACTTTTGGATCAGATGTAAGCCCTCAGCACCATGCCTGCCTGCTTGCCACCGTGCTGGCCCCCTAAGAGGGTAAGCACGATTCCAATTACATGCCTTCTTCTATAAAAATTTCCTTGACCGTACTGCCTCTTCATAGCAATGGAACAGTAATTAAGACATATGCACGATATTGTCAGGTAATTTTCGGATCTTCCAAAACTCCTGGCTCTCCATGAACTTGCTATCAGGTAAGAACTAAAGGGAGGGACAATGCATCTCGGCTTTTGAGGGCTGGCCACAAGCTTTCTATGTGGCTTTAAAACACGGAAGTGCCAAGGAGAAGGATGAAGAGGCCTTCATCCCAGAGATGGAATGAAGCCCAACCAGAGCAAATGTACATTATATATTAGCTTGGATTTTTCTAGAACAAAGACATTGTACCCTTATTGCTTCCTTTATTAGGGGGTGGTGCTTAATTAACTGGTAAGCCCAAATGAATTTATCCCCGCTTCTCTCAGGGATCGTTTTGTTTCTGTTTCTGTTTTTCTGGTTTTTGTGTTTTTGTTGTTGTTGTTGTTGTTGTTGTTTTGAGACAGAATCTCTCTATGTAGTCCTGGCTGTCCTGGAGCTCTTTATATAGACCAGGCTAGCCTCAGACTCAACAGAGATCTGCCTGCCTCTGCCTCCCAGGTGCTTGAATTAAAGGCATGAGGCACTGAGCTGCAGCATGGATAATAAACACCCAGAGACATATATAGGCCTTAAAGCTGAAGATCAGAAAAGCAGAGCAGTCAGCCACTAGAGAAGCCTTTTACCTCTACCACTGCTCAGACCGAAAGGGTGATCCTCAGACTGCCTAGACTGCACCATGTCTCCACCAAACCTCAAACTCCACACTCCAGTGAGCTCCTGTCTCTTCCCCTTTACAGTCCTCTCTCTGCCCAGCCATATCACTACTGTCTCCACCTCACTAGTGCTGGGATTAAAGTTGTGCAACTCCAAAACACTGGGATTTAAGGTGTGAGTCCTCATGGCCTGACTGTTTCTGGATTGATCTTGTGTAGCCCAGGGTAGCCTTGAACTCACAGAGATCCGCCTGTCTCTGCCTCCCGAATCCTGGGATTGAAGGTGTGTGCCAGCACTCCCTGGCCTCTAAGTGGCTTAGTTTTGCACTCTGACATTCAGGCAAGTTTTATTTATTAAAATACAGGTAAAATATCACTACACTAAGTCCAGCTTCTCATTTCTTGACTTATCTTTTATGATATGTCCAGAGGACAGAGCAGAATCCATGTGTGAGAAAGGACAAGTGTTGTTTGTCCTCTAGGATCTGAGTTTTTTCACTTAGAATATTTTTCCAACTCCATCCATTTCCTTGAAATCTTCATCATTTGTTCTTCAGTTGTTGGGTATCTAGACTGACTCTATTTCCCAGCTATCCCAAATAGGTCAGCAATAAATATGGAAGTGCAGGTATCCCTGTCGTGCCCAGGAGTGATATAGCTAGGTCATATGGTAGTTTAATTTTAGTTTTTCTGAGAAACCTCTATATTTATTTCCAAAATATCTGCACCAGTTTACACTCCCACCAACAGCGTACAAGGTTCCCCTTGCCCCACATCTGTGCCGCCTTTGTTGTTGTTGGTTTTCTAGTCTATCTTATTGTATCTGTATGGGTGTTTTTCCTGCATGTATGGATTTGTACCACATGCTAGTGCCCAAGGAGGCCAGAAGGAGGGTGTCAGATCCCCCTGGAACTGGATTTGCAGGTTTGTAAGCCACCATGTGTTCCTGGGAATTGAACTTGGGTCCCCTGAAAGAACAGCCAGTGTCATCTAGCTAATTAATTAACCACTAAGCCATCTCTCCAGCACCATGTTATTAATATTCTTGATGATAACCATTTCGACAGGGATAAAATGGGTTCTTAGGATAATTTTAATCTGCATTTCCCTACTAGATAGGGATGTTGAACTCTTTAAAGTGTTTCCTGGCCATTTGTCTTCTTCTTTTGAGAAGTTTTGCTTTAGTCCATTGCCCATTTTTGTACATGTATATGCTGAGTCTGTTTACATTGTTTATGCATATATGACTTCAAGGTTGACTTCAAAACTTTGGACAATCAATAAGAAAGCTCACCAGTGGGAAGGGCAAATCCCACTTTCCCCAGCTGTCAATAACTGTCAGTGTTCTTTACCTAGGGATAAGACCCGATGAAATTTTACCCCTTCCATGTCGCATGCCCACTGATATTATGATTCTTCTGGTCTTGTTCATGCAAACATTTCTAGGAAAGACTGCATCAAAGCAGACTTCCTGGTATTCTGGCGCCTGCGAGCTCTCTACCCCTCACTTCCTCTGTGTTTCCTGAGCCACAGATGCATAAGTTATGACTTAGATGTATCTGTCTGGTGTATCAGGATGACTCTTTGAGATACTGATTCATGCAGGAAACAGATGCATCCAGTTTCAGTATTTGTTCAGACAAGTTTCGCAATAGCATTCGAGTCCTCTTTGACTTAATTGAAAAGGTTTAAGCTCTCTCTGTTCCTGAAGATCTGATCCCTCGGGCTCCTCTCTAGCAGTGTGACAGAGCCCAATCCGCAGCCTTCACACCCCCATCTCCTGTGGATCCCACAGACCACCTCCTCCTGGCCTCCCTCCCCCAACTCATTGCTGTGCCCCAGCCCCCCATCTCCGGTGGACACTCCCTGTTAAACCACAGGCCAACTCTGCCAGAAGACCAGGTAGGTTGCCCACAGAACTTCCCCCACTCTCTCTGTTCCCCCAGAATTAATCCCTCAGACTCCTCCCTAGTGCTGCAACAGAGCCCCAGATACAGCCTCCCTTCCCCCCTGTCCATGTCTCCTGTGGATCCCATCAACCATTCCCTCCTGACTCTCCCCTGCCCCCTTCATCCCTGCATCCCAGACTCCAACACCAGCAAGCATTCCCTGTGAACATACCAGCCCAGCAGATCAATAAAACAGGCAACACACAACCATCATATGCTCTGAAAATCTAGAGAGGAACCAGCACCCTAGGACTGAAATATCTACCAACAAGAAAGAAAGAAAGAAAGAAAGAAAGAAAGAAAGAAAGAAAGAAAGAAAGAAAGAAAGAAAGAAAGAAAGAAAAGAAAAACCAGAAGTCAAAACCTAGACTTATACTAACCGCCAGGCCAGATGCCTAGATGCCAGCATAAGAACACCATCAATAACAGCCAGGACAACTCCAATAGAGCCCAGCTATCCTACCTCAGCAGGTCCTGAATATGCCAACATAACCGAAGCACAATAAAAAGACCTTAAAACCAACTAGATGAAGATGATAAAGGTCCTTAAAGAGGAAATGAATAAATCCCTTAAAGAAAGCCAATGGGGGGCAGGGGGGGAGACACAAACAAACGAAGAAACAAAACTGTTCAAAATCTGAAAATAAAAATAGAAGCAATAAAGAAAATGCAAACTGAGAGAATTCTGGAAATAAAAATTTAGGAATTAGAACAGGAACTACAGAGGCAAGCTTCACAACAGAATACAAGAGGTGGAGGAGAGAATCTCAGGCATTGAAGATACAACAGAAGAAATAGATGTGACAGTCAAAGAAAATGTTAAATCTAAAACATCCAAGAAACCTGGGAAACTATGAAAAGACAAACCTAGGAATAGCATGGATAGAAGAAGGAAAGAACCCCAGCTTGAAGGCCCAGAAAATATTTTCAACAAAATCATAAAAGAAAATTTTCCTAACCTAAAGAAGGGCATGCCTAGAAAGGTGCAAGAAGT